GGCACGTTGGTTGTGTTGGGTGTTGTGCCTTGTGTTGGTGTTTTTTCCTTAAACCGACAATGTTCTGATTTGACTGAACAGTATTTCATAATGTTGCAATTATGTAAATTAGCTCAGATACTTATCTTAAGCACTTAAAGGCATTCAGGCAACTGGTAGAGTGAAGCAGTTTTGCAAAGCAATGGACAACAGAGCGTTTACTAGGGGGTCTAGGGTGAGATGTTTCATGCTGAGGACACCTCCCGGAGCGGGCAGGGGTTGGACTGCAGTGGGGTGAAAAGGGGGAATTCCCCAATATGCTGTTGAATGCCCCAGTTAATGTCTCCCTGCCTTTGGTCTTCCTTGGTGTTGAGTCCTCCCTCAAAACCAGGCAGGTGAAGGTGTTTCCTGGTTGAAGATGGTCTTGCAGGCTCCTCTTGGTTGACAGTGTGCATCTTGTTGGTGTTTTGGGTTGGTCTCTGCAGGGGCATCAGCACAACCCAGAGATGATGCTCCTGGGTGGGACGGCAGGGTTGAGGTGCCTCCCAAAAGGGCTGCTCTTGGTGAGGGCGTGTGGCATGTTGCCTGGGGTGGGCAGTGGGTGGGCTGTCTGCTCCCATCCCATGCATCGCCCGCGTTCGCAGCATCAGGAGGAATTTCCATCAAGGGATTAGTCACCTGGCTGCGGGCTTGGACCCCAGTCAAGTGAATTTAAACACTGTAGCAGGAGCTGGTTTTGTCTGCTCCGGGGAGCCAATGGTATGGAAACCATTTTTCCTCCCTTCCCAAATTTCTCAGTTGCCTCAACATGCCTGGGTTGGGATGTGTGAGGGTTTGCTGGCGAGCAGCACCGGGCGAGTGTCTCGGGGACCTTGGCAGTGCTGCTGCGTGCCAGGACTGGATGTGGTGGTCGCCCTGGGGCATGGGCAGTGCCCAGGCTGCTGGAGGGCCTCAGCTGGCTGCTGAGCTGGCTCCTCTCTGCCCAGGGTGGCAAGGTGCCTGTCCCACCAGGTTATGGGGAAAGCTGGTCTGGGTATTTCCTTGGTGGGGGTTTGTCTGTCCCTCCTGGTGGCCACTCTCTGCATGACGTGTTTTTACTGGGTCGGATTAAGATGGTGAACTCCTGAACCGAGGGTCAGAGCTGACATCCGGTGGCACATCCACCGGTGCTCAGCTCGGCGTGGCAGCTGCTCGCTTCCTGGGTGCTTTGGGCCAACTCCTGGTTCTTTTGGAGCCCAGGTGTGACAGGAGGCTCATCAGGAGGAAAGCAAAGGTACATCTTTAGGTGAAGTGACGTGAGCAACCAAGACATGGTAATGCTTCGTTCACAGCAGTCTCCTCATAGTGTCTGAGGATTTAGTGTATTTAGAGAAATTAATCTTTTTTTAGCTTGGTAATAATTCCAACAATAGGCCTGAGTGCATTAGATGATTCGCATAAACTTCTTTAATAGACATTGCTTTAAGCTTACAGTAAATAGACACAATCCTGATTGTTTTTAATTCTTAGTGTAATGCAGTTTTGCAACAGCCCCAAGTGCTTTACCTTTTGGGTAAGACTTGTAAGAAGATTTTCACTCCCCAGTGCCTGGGCTTGGTGGCACTGGTTTGGTTTCCCCGGGCATGTTTTGGCCTCAGAAGGAGGGTTGTGCTTCTTCTCCCCGGTGTGGCCCGTGGTGGATGCTCATGGCACAGTCTGTCTCCAAGAATGGTGTTTTCCCGGTGCACCGTGTACTTTACAGGGCGAGGGACCTACCTGGCCAGGACTTAAATATTGACCGAAGAACCAAATGATAAAGTGGGGGAGTGTGAATAGCACCTTGTTTCTCACCAGCCTCCTTGCTGGTGCTGGTGAGCGTGCTGGCCAGCCTCGCTGATGGGTGCTAGAGCCAAAATGCAGGATTTTATCCAGCACCAAACCCAAAAGCCATCAGCTGGCAGCTAAAAATGGGCTATGAGCCCCAAACGGGGCTGGGCCAGTGAGTCGTGAGTCACTTCATATGGTGGTTGTAGTTAAAAATATTCCAATACAAGGCTTGCCCCAAATGGGTAGAGCGTCATGTTTACACTTGGTCAACAATGGGCAACCTCTGTGTGGCCATTGCCTGAAATAGGATGTTTATTTACCCAAAGGTGATGTGTTTATTGTGTTGCTGTAAGGACAAAAATGGGGGGATGCTCTGGGAGCAGTGCAGTGGTGCTGGGCAAGCCAGGGTTTGGCACGTTGCCCTCCCGTAGCCAGTGCCGGAGGGGTGCTCACCCGGGAGAGCTAGCAGTGCACCTCGTTAGCGGGGTGCTAACGATGGGACTTGCATGCTGTGTCATTTCCACTTCATTTCCCAGTGTAACAGTATGAAAACTGTCAGCAGCAGCAGGACAAGTCACCAATTTCCCCCTCCAGTTTTTTAGTATTAGAGTTCTTTAGTGAGGAAAAAAAACAATCCAGAAATCCCACCCCTCATTTTTGGAGGGGGACCTTTGAAAGCTGTGGGGTCTTGCCATGGCTGGGGAATATTGCTGTTTGCCGTTTTCCTTAAGGTTTTTTTCCTGAGCTGGGACAAAAGGCTGGTGGGACTCGGTAGAGAGGTGCTTGTTGGGATAGGGGTGATGGGAACAGGGATCCACCAAGCTGCCAGCCTGACTGTTCACACAGCTAACGAGCTCTGTTGGTTATTAATCACCTCTCCCACCCGTGCCAAAGGAGCTTCTCCAAGTTAAAAGCACCACGTTCAGCCATCAACTCCTAAAATTCAACCTGTAGCTGCTGATCGGGGCTCCTGCACCAGGCAGAGCCCCATGGCGAGCGTGCCGGCGCTTGCAACGGGATCGCTCGGCATGACAGGGAATTTCAGCCGCCGCGTTATCTGGGAATTGGCCGGTGGCTGGTCGCAGTTGAGCATTTCAACGCCCTGAAAGCCAATACAATTTGAGTTAGCAGTGATGACTGCCAGTTTAAATACCGCAGTGAATTTCTGTCAAAGAGCTAATACACAGAAAGGGGAATTGCAGAAAACTTGATCACCAGAACCACTTGAGTCGATTTTGGCCTCGAGCTACGGAAAATGAACTTAAATCTAGTTGACTGTTGCTACATACTTTTTTTGCGGTATTGCTTTTCCTGTGCGGCCGACTCGGGGTGTCAATGGGCAGGAGAGAAGAATCAGGGTTGCCTTTGTCTGCTGGAGGCTTGGACTCCATCCTTCCCCTCCTTTGCTCCCTGTGGTTCCCCTCTGAGAAAGACCCACACTTGGGAGCATTTCAGGTCTTGTTTTCCTTGCAGCACAAGATCTAGGCAGTAGTGGCTTCAAGTTGCCATTAATGCAAAGCATTGAGGTCCAAATTTCTTTTAACTTTGGGAAGGTGCTGCAGTTCTTTCTAACTTTGGTCTGGAAGGATGGTCTGCTGCAGTGGGGGCGGTTGCTGCTGGAAAGGTGGTGGTTGATCTGGGAAAAGATGGGGAGTGCTTGAGGCTCATCTCCTGCCATCTTTCTTGGAGACAATCAGGGCTTCTCCTTTTTCCCCATCACCTGAAACAGTTTCTCCTTAGATTGAGATCTTGGTGAGAAGGTTTCTGAAGTCTCTGGAGATGGGTGGAGGTAGCATCCAGACTTGCTGGTGTTAGCAAGCAAGG